TTTATCACTTGCTATCAGGTAAAAAGAAAAACGGAACAATTTGAAATCTACCCTAGTTGCGCGTATGATGCACATTACAAGTGCATACTATCGGAAGTTTCATAAGGGTGAGATGGGTCATAGTTTTGGAAACACTAAGTGTGATTTCCTTCGCAAGTCTTGCGTGGCATGATTGCCATCTAGTTAACTGAGAACTAGCAATACGATATCACTTTTCGCATATGCATATCTTTCTGTTCTCTTTCTTTTCGATCGACGCCTTGAGACGAAAGAATCTCCGCACATGGGATATCTTATGTGGAAAGAGATGTCCTTTATTTGCTAGTTCTCTGATATTTGTACTGTTCTCGTTTTCTTTTTTTCTGTTATTTTATTCTCTTCTTTACCATTTTGTTTGTGGTAACCTATGTGGACATGTCGACAAAGTTATGTCTAGACCAGGGTGCCCAAATCCAATTTGTGGCACGGTTTAAACGTACGATTTTTTTACAGTGTATGCTAGGATAAACTGAACTGAACTGAAATGCCTATGCGTAAAGTAAATCAAAACTACCTACATTATTTGTTTACTTCATTTAGTGTTCAGTAAATGAGGCAAATCGTACGCAGAAAAGTAAAAATATTTAGAGTGTCCCAGATCCAATAGACACGGTCATAAACGACCGTACACGGTCACGTACGGCGATATACATCAGCCGTATACGGCGGCCGTATTACGACGAAGTACGGCGGTTTATGTTTGCTGTATACGGCGAATTTCCTGTGACCTGTGTTCCTTGGAATTCCATCGCAAAATGTATTCTTATAAGTTTGCCGTTATGAACTAGTGTTCGTTATGCGATCAAAATGGCATCAAATTGTTCTTTTCAATCAACTACCCAGGTCCAAAAAAACGGCTCGTTAACGTCCATTTAACAGCTACACAAAAAACGGCGTGTTAGCGTTCTCAAAACGGCAAAAAAACAGGCCGTTAACGACCAGTTGGTGGCCAGTTTTTCGACGACACCTTACGATTTATTTCTACTTCAGCAAACTATGATTACTATACTATATGTGGAAGTTTGACGAAAGCTATGCGAAGGTATTTTCATACATGGGAGCCCACGCGTGAAATTCATGGTACTTATTGCAAACATGAATAGCAAATTCACACTTTTGTTTACAAGCAATATGGTATAACCAAAATGCGCTGGATTTATAATTCTAGATACGTGTGTTCGAAACTCAATCCTGGTAAACAATTATAATTGTATGTATATGAGTGGCAAAGTGATATTCAAGGCGATACAACGCATAGGTGACGTCCTGAAGCTCTGTATACATCTTCTATAGACGATGCTACAAACGAAAAATAATTTTTTGTAAAATGGCTGTTAACGACCGTAAACGGTCACGGCGCAGTTACGGCCGTAAAACGGCTGGCGTATTTACGGTGTAGTTACGATCGTTTACTGCGATATTTGCACCGTATACGACCGTTTACGATGGAAATACGACCGCAAACGGTGACTTACGGGGTCGTTTACGGCAGTCGTAAAATTGTACCTGGGGTGGCGTAAAAATGAATAATTCAAATGACGCATCTCACCCTTATGAAACTTCCGATAGTATGCACTTGTAATGTGCATCATACGCGCAACTAGGGTAGATTTCAAATTGTTCCGTTTTTCTTTTTACCTGATAGCAAGTGATAAAAATAAAAATAGTATAATGGTTAATAAATCATGTGATCACTTTTTCGTTTTGTTTCCCCCTTAATCCGTCAAATTAGATAGACTTTTAGTCAAACGTACATTCTTTTGTTACAAACTTTTGCACTAGCAATGTTTTCTCATGTATCCATGGGTACACTGTAAAAAAACTGTACGCTTTAACCTTTTAAACCTGACGGCTTAACCGTTAGATAGCCTGATATTTTAAGAGTCGGGTTATAAGTCATCCTTTAAAATACAAATCCAACCTAACGTTTTATCCGTTTCAACCTGCGCCAAAATGACGATTTTTGACGCTTTTTTCGTAAAAACGTCAGGCTGAGTGAGTCATCTGCAACTGAATAAGCCAAAATGACCGACGCTTAAATCGTCAGATCGTGCAACCTGACGGTTTAAGCGTCGGTTTCTCTCATCGAATGTTTTAAAATGAATTATTCATTCTTTTATGTTTAATGTTTTATCATTAACTTCACAGAAGCAAAGATTGGAACTAAAATTTGATTTTTCAATTAAAATGGATAGAAACTTAGCAGTGGAAGTAATGTGTTGGATACTACCCCAAGGACGGTTGTTAATCACAAACTAAATATTCCATTTTTTTCAAAATGTTCAAAGAAATCAGATGCAAAACAGAGGAATCTACCACTTTAATCGTCAATTAGGAATGATCGTTTTGCACATTTTGTAACTTTCGGATTAGTTCGCGGCACTCTAGAAATAACAGCAACCTGTCGAATCGCCGATCCTTAGAGTTAATGTTATGAATATAACTTTATAAAGAAAACAATAGAACAAGAAAAAAATTAATAAATATTACAGGAAAAACATCAATAACTGGATCAGTATTTAATATTTTAGATTAAATAGAGATTCTAATTAGAAACTCTTGTCGTTCTCAGTTTTTTCAAGAAATTCGTCGTTTTTGAGACAAACACATTATTTTTGGAAAGATGGCATCGCTGTGAAATGTAAAATGTATTTATTTGAAAAACAACGGATTTCTTCAAAAAACCGAGAAACTTCCTTCAGCCATTCTTTAGCAACATGTACCTTTTCAAGCTCAAACCCCGCGTGCTGGCTATTTCATTCCTAATACAAAATCATACAGAGGTTTGAAACGTTCCAACCTGACCTTTGTGTAACCTAACGGTTAAAACATCATGTTAACCTGGAGTTTTAACCGTCAGGTTGGAAAAGGTGTCAGGTTAAAACGGTTAAAGTGCCGGGTTAGAACGGATAAAACGTCAGGCTTAAAAAAACGCTAGATTTTGACGTTAGTCAAGTTAGCATGATTTAAACCTACGACTTTTTTACAGTGTATGCACTTTGCACAGTGTAGCATAAACTGAACTGAGCTGGAATGCCTATACGTAAAGTAAATCAAAACTATCTACATTATTTGTTTACTTCATTTAGTGTTCAGTAAATGAGGCAAATCGTACGCAGAAAGGTAAAAATATTTAGAGTGTGGCGTAAAAATGAATAATGACGCATCTTACCCTTATGAAACTTCCGATAGTATGCACTTGTAATGTGCATCATACGCGCAACTAGGGTAGATTTCAAATTTTTTCGTTTTTCTTTTTACCTGATAGCAGGTGATAAAAATAAAAATAGTGATAAGAGCACTAAAAGACAAAAGATTTTTATTATCGTAAAATGTTTACCGACAGCCAGACAGTTCATGGATCAACTTCTCTGTTATTCATAAACAGAAGTCGAAAATATTGTCTGTGTCGTTGGTTGCAAAATTTCATATTAGGATTTTTAATTTTTATACCATTGTTTATGCTATCATGGTATATTGCAATTAAAATACGATATAAAAATAATCAATGTATTAGAACGTACAATAGTTCTGTTTTAAATACTAGTAATAATACAAATATTCTTTCACACAATTTCACCAACTTTAATCAACTGGCATTACATCATTTTCAGATATTGGGCACTCATAACAGTTATCATTCTGAAGTTTCGATTTCATCGCAAATGGATTTTGGTATTCGACAAATTGAATTAGACGTTCATATAATCTCTGGGAAGGGAGGTTATCTTGTATATCATTTACAATTGATAGATGACTACACAAATTGTTATTGTTTAAGCGAATGTCTACAATTAATATTAAAATGGAGTCAACGAAATCGTCTTCATTATCCAGTCTTTTTATTCATTGAAATTAAAAGCATGTTCTATGAAGATATGGTAACTGGTTTTACAGGTGTGAAATGCGCACATTTAGAATCGATAAAACAGCAAATTTTAACAATTTTCCCTTCTGAACGTCTAATTGCACCCGATCAAATACAAGGAAATTTCACGAGTATAACTGCAGCATTAAAACAACAAAAACTAGACGAAGTTCACGGCAATTATAGCTATCACGGATATGGATGGATGCCTCTTGCGTCTTCACTAGGTAAAATTATGCCAGTGTATTTAGATGATGCTCATAATATAGCGGATCGACTGACATGTTTAACAAAAAATCCCATCGCTGCATATCGATTCTTTTTCATAGCACAATCACATATTGACCGTTCCTATGCAGCTATTGTCGTTCTGAATACTATTACAACAAAACAGTCCGAAACGGCCATCAAAACAAGTCTAGCAAATGGTAAAATCATTCGTACATCGATTTTCTCAAATTACAAACTGTATGAAAGAGCATTCGAACTAGGTATACATATCATCAGTTTTGATTTCAAAAAGTGTATCATAGACCCACTATCTACACCATATTGTAATAATTTACCTAATGGCCTTTTTCTTAACAAACCTCTTGTGTGTAACTCGAGAACGGCCCCTAGATTTTGTGAAATATCAGTGAATCAAGTTGGAGCAAATGGTATTCTATTTTAAATTAAGTTCGTAGCAGATCAGTTGTATTTGAAAACTAAACAAAGACCGGTCTATCGATTCGAATAGATGCCCTAGTGAAACTTCTTGTAACTAAGATCGTGACTTCTTGAATTTTTTCAGTAAGATCTTGATTTAAGATCTTGGTAAAAAATGTAAGAATTCAAGAAAGTTCAAGAAGTCAAGGTCTTGAACATCCTGTAATTTCTTGACTTCTTGTACCGAAGACCTTGGAAATTCTTGATTCATTATTTTGTTTTACCCTCTTATGTAAATATAAGCGCGAATATTTTCACACTTAAAATAGCTTCGAATTTTTTTTCTTCTTGACCACAGTTGTTTAAGGAAGAACCTATAATTCTATATGGTCGTATATCTGATGGCTATGGCTGTCATAAATGAAAACAAAATGTAAAGAAAAATTTTCATGTAAGATCTTGAAACATCTTGAATTACTCCGCTTTAGATCTTGAAATTTCTGTTCCCAAGATCTTAAGTGCAAGATTCAAGAATCCAAGATCTTGACTTCTTTGTGTTTTTTCCAAGATCTTCTGACATTTCCATTTCTTAACCAAAGATCTTGGGTACAAGAAGTTTCACGGGTGCTAAGCAAATTTCTATTAAAAATAAATGTTGTATTCTTATTCTAAGCATCAATGAACAATAAAATAAGCAATAGACAATATAAACGACAATGGTCATAATGTGAGTAACTGTGACAATCACGATAGATACAGTGGAGCTCAAAACTATTGGCCCACCTTTATTTCTAAGTTTTATCCTCGGCCATAATAGCCAGAACAAATCTAAGAAATGATTTGAAAAGTTGAACAAGTTTCCAATATGCCAAAGAGAAAACGAAGTAGGATGTATTCAAAACTTTTTTATGAAAATGTGTAGAACTCTTCTAGCTGCAGTTTAATTTGTTAGAAAGTGTTTGTGAACTTTACTTCAGAAAACGGAGAAAAATGCATACATACGGTCAAACAATACATTTTAACATCAGGTCAATTTCGGTCTCTATTTCTCAGTAACCAAGAATAATATCAGAATTCTGACACCGTTAGTTTGTAGAGCATTTAAAATGCTTTCTTTTCAGATATCAGACATTATCTAAATACCTGTTCAAGGTAGAGAACAAAGTCAAAAAAAGGCGAGTAGTTTGATGCCAAAATATTAAATTTAAAAAAGCTCGTCCATTTCCACAGTGTTACGGATCCAGAATTATTGTTTGGTACGTGCGGTATACGATAAAAGTTCGAGATACATGCGGTCGTCATAGAAACAAATTAATCTGAGAAAGTTCTGCTGAGAAAAAACAGCTTTTTTTGGTTAAGAGGTGTAAATGTGAATATCGTTGAGAATAGAAGGCCATGGTAGATTTTTCAGGTAGATTCAGTACATCTGCGCATACAATAGAATGTAATATAATTTTTATCGTTAACTGCTGTTAATGGCTATTATTCATTTAAAAATAATACATCAGAAATGATGAAAAACAGATAACTCATGTTTAATGAATAATTTATACGCAATAACAAACGAATTGGTCGAAATAATGTTTGTATTCTTAAAATTTGACAAAAATAACGAGTAGTGGCATGAACGACGAAGAATCTCGAGATACAGTAAATTTATGAGCAATAATACTGTATCAAATACTGACTATTGAAGAACACAAGTTATACTTTTATTAACTACCTATCTGAGCATTAACAGTTCTGATGTGTTCGTGTGATAGTATGGAAATATATAATTCGGCAATGCGTTTTTCAATGAATATAAGGTTTTAAAATTGGAAATGGTTTTAGAAGTTTGTTAGGACCAATCTATTCGCGAAAAATTTCACAATGTACATGGCTCAAAAGCGGAACACAATTTTGCGAGCCTATCTATTTTTTTGTAGGAGGTTGTAGACCAAATATTTACACATGATGGTTAGATTCACTGGATGCTCGCCTCGAAAGTTACGAAGAGTTTTTTCAAAAATTCCTTTTCCTCACTGAGAAAATTCATTTTTTCTAGATTAGAAGCGAGAAAAATCGGAATTCTGCCAGTAATTCTCATTTTTCTCCATCAGAACTAATTACTTATGCAGTAAATACCATATTCAGAATCGCCATCAAAAACTGAGTCGAATAATACATATTTCAAAACTTTTCGTTGATTTTCATTTTTTTCGAATTTTCACGGCGAAAAATTACTGAGATTTTCACGAAAAAATGAAAATCAACGAAAAGTTTTGAAATATATATCATTCGACTGAGTCTGAAAAACTCAACTGTTCCAAATGTTTCCCTTTTAAATGTCTAAAAAGCGGTCAAAAAATTGTCGCAATGTCTAAAATGCCCGTACAACAAACATTGAATGAATTATTATTTATGTTTAACAGACAATTAATTACACCGTTTTCAATGTCCTGAGAATTTCGTTAGGGAAGGATCTAGGATCTTGATATCAACTGTAGCTGAGTTTTTCACGAAGTTGCCGTCAACAATATAAAAGAGACCATTTACAGGTGTTAAAACCCTCTACTAAATCTGTTTTGCTGACAGGTAATAAAGTCTTAACAGAGATTTAGTAGAGGGTTTTTGATGATTACGATACTTTTCTGGTAGCATTTTACCAAACCATAGCGAATATCTGTTTCGGATACTTTTCTAAAACCTTTTTAGGTGTTGTACACAACGCTTTCTTTTAGAGTGTACAAACAAGAATTATTTAATTCCGTTCTAATTTGGATATTTCACTAAAAATCAGTTCTTCCGGCTTTTACATAACGTTTTCAACAACCGTCAAAAGCCTCCGATACTGGCAAACACAGGGTGGATTCTAGGGTAGACAATGCACGACTATGCACTCAGCGTAGTACCAACCTTTTATTGAATTTTTCGAGACAAAGAAAAAGCCTGGGATTTCTCTAGACGTTATACAAACCTTTCGTTCTTCAGAAAAAACACTAATTATTTTGCTAAACCGTTTTTTAAACAACTATAAGATTTAGTAAGACTAATTTTAGGAATGGCTCAAGAGTAACGCCTACTAAACCCATTGCAACATCCGTTGGGTTTTGTACGTGACGCTATTTTTCTGACTGAGATGATTTTCAGATGTGAGCGATACCTTGATCATAAGTTATGCTTGTCCTACTAAGAGCCCTAGGAGCTGTATCATACACCGCTGCTACCATACCGCAAAAGCGACTTGTCTTTGGGCGACACACAACGTTGCAAAACTTTTTTTCCCAGATAAAATGATGGAGAACACCGATAGAGAGCAGAGCTGATCACCTGCATCTTAAACAGTGCAGGCAGGTTGCAGTTTGCAGGTGAATGAAAAAATTTTCCACTGACGGCCGGCAGATAAAGAAAAATATTTTCCTCCCTGCACTCTTTGCAGGGGAGAAGATTTCACCTGCATTCACTGCAGGAAAGACGTTTTTGTGTGGAGAACAAAAAGAGAGAGGAGACCAAGAGAAATATTGATCACACTGAAGGTCAGAATGCTCTCTTAACTAAAAGAAACTAACTAACAGTTATTTTGTACGTCTACTAGACATTTTAAGATGAGGAGAGAAACGTTTTATCCGTAATCACTTAGAGTCACATGGAGTAATTCTGATAATCGCCTAAAACTTTTCAAATATTTT